TTCACCTAGCGGCACGGAGGGGTTGGGGGGGACCGGGCACGCATCCTGAACAGCTTCGCGAGGCGTGCAGTTGCCCAGTCGCGCTGTTGTAGAGGGCTGGGCTCTGCGTTTCGGGCTTATGCCTGCCGGTTGCCGCTGTAATTGGGGTTTGTCTCTTGACCGGCTCCCGGCGTGTTTTGATGCTGTCAGATACAGCTTTTGGGACTGGTCTGCTTAGTCACCCTATTGTGTTGTTATCTGTGGCCTATCTGTTTCCAGAGTTGTATTGCAGTTCGTTAAAAAGGACTATTTTCTTCCAGTAGACTCTGCTCTGTGGTAAGAAATAATAAAATTTAGATAAAGGCCTTACCTGTTACGGGTTAAAAAAGCAGTAGGCTAGCTTCATTCTACCTGATTCAGGTCCCTAACGAGAGTCTTAATGCGAATATTCTCATGGGGGTGAAATTTCCTGAGATAGCATCACTCTCTTACTGGCTCAGTTGTGCAGCATTATGTAATCCTAGATACCACGAGCCCAAGAAAGCTCGTATATCAAACTAGATTTGTTCTTGAGTGCTCTTAGCCTGTCGCTGCAAGAACAGATGTTAAATCTGAAATGTGCAGTTGTATGTCTTTTTCAGAGCATCCTTCAAGCCAGAAACTCACGACCATGTTTTAATCCTAATTTTATATGTGTGTATATTATATACATAAATATATATGTGTATATATAAAAGGAACAGCCATGACTGTGTCCCTCCAAAACACACATCATCTTAATTAGAAGTAGCACTGTCATATAAGGTTACATTACTGTATAAACATTAACTAGCTAGTGGCTCTGCCAAATGGAAATTAAAGCAGTGAGGACTTCAAGCTGGTGTGAGCTGCTTAATAACGTATGTTGGCTGGCCTCCATTGGCCTTGGTTTGTTGCAGTACTGCCCAGCTCAGCAGTACTGAGGAGCTACAGAAGGCCCTTAAAAAGGGATAACATGAGTTAGCTGAAAGTAGTGCGGCTTCCTTCGGTTTCAGTAGTTCAGGTTACCACTTTAAGGAGCTAGCATGTGTAGATGTTCAGCCGGGCAGAGGGAGAATGTGTGAAAATGATAATTCTTTGTCCCTAGAATTTTTCTTTAAAAATTAGTTGCAGGCTGCACCTATAAATGTATGCTTTAGAGGTGGTTTTTTTTTTTTAAAGCAAATAGCTTGTGAGAAAACTAAATCATTGTAATGGTCTGCTGCTAAGAAGTGTTTTGAATGGTAAAGGAATGCATTATAACACTCATCCCAGTAGCCTGTCAAGATCTGATTTATAAAACTTTTTGCAACCAGGCAGTTGTGTTTATCTGGGTCCTTCATGTCAGTTGATTGAAGTGCAGTGATCCCCAATTAGACTTCTATGTGTAGCTTCAGGCAGAAGTTGTAACCTAGTAACTATTGTATCAAGTCCCTTAGTTCTGTTTTTGAGTTGTTGAGTATCTGGAAAGATGCATTTTAGGAAAACTTGACTATTGGTTTATTGATGGCATAATCTTTAAAGTCTGCTGCTGTTTGTATAGTAGTTTGTATCACTGTTTGTTCCAAAAAACTTTGTTAAAATACTTACTCGTCTTAATAGTTCTTAATGCTAACAAGGTGCTGATGCAACTTCCTACTTTGAAAGAGTAGTGTAAGGTGCTGAAAGCCTTCCTTATGGTGGTATATTGTGTGTATGTTTGCTTTGTTTTTAATCTCCTCAGAAAGCCAAGCTTTTTTCTGAGGGAGAATTGTTCAATCCTGAGTAACTGGTCAGTTGACCCCGCTTTGAGCGGAGGTGTGGGGAGTCTAGCCCATCTCCAGAGGTTCTTTCCAACATTGAGTATTCTGTGATTTAGTTCCAAGAGCTAGAAATTGAAAACTGCTTTTGGATCTGACTTCAGTTAGTTATGATGAGTACCAATTGTTTGGATGTGAAAACAAGTGGTGTTTTGGAAGTGTTTGTGCCACGTTAATTCAAGAGAAAGATAGCTCTAGTGTTGGACCGCAAAAGTATAAGCGTTATTGATGCTAATCCATTTTATGGCTCTCTCGTGCTTTTAAATTTGAGAGAGGCTTGTTTGAATTAATGTTAGACTTCTTTCTATTAATTTCTTAAACATCAGGTTTAGTGAATTTAGCCCTGTTGATCCAAACAGTGAATAGTCTGAGCATGCGTGAGTGACAGTGGACTGCTTGCTGTAAGTAAGAAGCAGTATAAATATTAAAGGTAACTTACAGCTTTAAGGCAGCTAATCTTTGCATGGTAATGTGTCTGCAGAATATTGTGTGAAAATAACTGTCCTTCTCTTGTAGATGCCTTCAATTAAACTGCAGAGTTCAGATGGAGAAATTTTTGAAGTTGATGTTGAAATTGCAAAACAGTCTGTAACTATAAAGACTATGCTGGAAGGTAAGAGTGTGAAGCCATGAGGATCACTAGCTCACGTTGAGGTAGCAGTGTATTTGGGAGGCCCCTCAGGCCAAAGGAGACAAAGTAGTATTGTGCTGAATTGGATTCTGAGGCTTATGAAATGCTTACTATCTCATGTCAAAACAGCTGGAACAATTGATGTTGTAGCTTAAACTGTGTTTTGAGTGAATATGTTATCTCGTGGAAAGCTTAAAGTTCATTTGCCTTGATGAGTGCAATTATAGGGTGGTTAGCAGTGGGGATTTATGTTTTACTTTGCCTACAGCCTGCTTCATTTTTTGTGAAAGTTAAGCAAACGGAGCATGTGGTATATGTTAACACTTGTTTAAAATTACAAACCCATTTTATTGTTGAAGTATCATTTTTCAAAATGGAATGGGAGGGGTTATAAACTAACGCAATAAATAAAGAACTAAAGTGAAACCGGTATTGAGAACTTACAGGAGCAGTCAAATTATCTGGGGTAAATACTTAGTGCTGATCCCTCACTGACATAAATTTGAGACAAAAGAACTTGTGGTGGGGGAGGGGAAATCAGCCAGATGGCTGGGATGCAGAGTAAACTGTGTCTAATCTGTCTAGTGCAAATCCTCATTGTTTACTGTTTTTTCAGTTTTTGTGTGTGTTCGTGCATTAATTTACACACACAAAAAAAATCTTCCTGTGGATGTATGTGAGTGTAAATCTTTTTGAGGCTGGTTGGGAGACCTGATGCATTAGAATGATAATAAAAGTAAGGTTAAAGTACTCCATCCATCTGATATTTTCTTTCTGTACCAGCACTTAAGACCTTGATTAATAGGATGCTATTGAACATAAGCAGTAGAATATAGGTAACATGAACAGGAAGCATAGCAATCAGTGGGAATACAGTACAGGGTATAGCTCCTTTTAGTTTTCTCTTGGAGATGATGTGGCACTGGCAGTGTTTGTGGCACACAGCTGTCCATGAAAGGGAGGTTGCACATGGTAAAATGTTGTAAGCTAGGCACCAAAAGAGCAGTGTGACCTGTGTCTCAACTGTCCTTTCCCTGATCTGAGAAAGAACCAATGTACTAGTGCAGATCATATGTACTTTGTGGTACAGCTGGTTATGCATCATCTGTTAACAAATAAACAATATTTTTTTATGTTAGATGCAATAGCCAAAAGGGGCAGAGTTGAAAGGTGGGTTTATGTCAAGCATTATGACATCACCAATAAAGTATCCATTTTCTGATAAAAGATGAAATTGCTCTTTTGGAGGGAGTGGGGAATTGTCAAGCATATAGTTGACTAAACTTGAGGCGTTGCTTGAATTATTTCCCCACGCCAACAGTTGTGGACAGACCACGGGGTATCTTCTTACACTGGTATCAGCCACTTCACTCAAAGTATGCATTTGAGGTTTCCAGTAATCGGTGATGTATGCAGTACCCTTTAATGTCAGTATTTTAGTCTCTGAGTCTTTGAAATTAGTTATTCCAAGCAAAAAGTAATGCTAATTAATATTGCCCTAGTGATAATATAGTGTACTTCTGTATTTAGGCAGGTCAATGCCCTTTTAATTGTTAGGCACAAATGTGATT